CTGGAGCTTGTGTAAAGCCCTGGTGGTGAGTGAGCTGCAGAAAGCAAAGGACAAGCTTGGGCTTGGGTCCCTGAGTGCTGGCTGGCACCGCTCACGGTGGCAGAACACAGACGACCCAGGCACAAGGTCGGGGTGAAGTTGTGAGCTCCCACCACTCACGAACCGTAGTGGTGTTCTGAAGGAAGACAATTTATTTGCAGGCTCTCTACAGCAGGACTTTGGGAAACATGGGAGGAGAGAGAAAGTGTAAGGGCGGTGGGGGAGCTGGGGTAGAGTTCAGTGGTAGAGCGCTTGTCTAGCAGGCCAGCGGTCTTGGGTTCAGTCCCCAGGATGGGGTGTGTGGGGAGGGGGTGGAATAAAAGGTGTGTGGGAGGAATAAGGGCCTCACTGGATTTTCGGCTAATCCTGACTAGAGAGTTAAAACTTTGCAGGAGAGAGTAATTAAGAGGACAAGGGAAAGCTGATTAAGTCAGGTTAGTCCCCCTTTCCCACCTGCCATAAAATGTAAAAGAGAGAAGAGGCAACCACTTAAAAATGACCCTCATTTAGTATACAAAAGCGCTCCTCTCTTACTCACTCACACAAACTTGTATGTAAGGCCCCTTCTAACTAACCCATAAATTCTAGAGATAAGGCCCTGACAGGATGACAGGAAACCAAATGACGCTCACTTAAGCATGTGCACATAGTGGACGGCATGGGGATAGGGTATCGGGGCATGGGATCCATCCATGGCAGCCCAGGAAACCAATTAGGTTATGGCAAGTTCCAGGTAGGGGGAAGGGCCCTGGGACCCAACAAAAGCAGCTGGAAACAAAGGACCCATATGTCCTCCATTTTTCCCAGAGCCCCCTACACTCAATCTTATTCAGATAGCTATCTACCTTCTCCTCTTTCCCCATTTTCCAATAAAGTGTTCCTCCTTCCTTAAACTTTGTATCTTTCATTCATTACTGGTACTTTACTAAGTTTACTGTCACAGTGCATTGTCAGACAGCGGAGCGGTGAAGCTGCAGTGCACACAGCCCAACTCAACAAAAGTTTTAAAGGCTGGGCATGATGATGCACACCTGTATTCCTGTACTCTAGGAGTTTTGTTTTTTTTTTTTTGGTTTTTCTCTGGTACCAGGAACCGAACTCATGACCTTGCGCTTGCCAGGCAGGCGCTTTGCCGCTGAGCTAAATCCCCAGCCCACTCTGGGAGTTTTAGGCAAGAGGATTACAAGGTTGAGCCCACCCTGGGGTATCAGGATCCTGGCCAAGATCCTCAATTGCCTGTATGAGGAGTATGGCAAAAGAATAAAATAAGAGGCAGTGACAAATTTAGTAATGTATGATAGAGGGGCTGGGAGGTCAATGCCTCAGGATGGGCAAAAGCAGAGACACTCAGAGCTAGCCACTATTTATTGGGTGCAGACAATAATCAGAGAGAATATCGGATGACTCAGAGGGCGGGAGGATGGTGGGATGTACAAGGCATTCTTACAACAGCTGGTGGGAAGAGATGGCAGGCTAATAAGGAGTTTGTCCTTTCCCCTAGGTGAACCTTTTTCTTATTACTACCAGGTTCTCAAGGACCAGGATGTCTTCAACTGATGTAATCTTTCCCTGGAGCATCACAACATCGCAGGACCACTGAGGCCTCGTTGTGACCAGAGGCACACGGAGTTATGTTTCTGCATACCATAGCTGGCTTGCAAGGCAAGACACAAGGCCTTAGACAAGCTCTAACCACAACTTAAATGTGAAATGATTTTCCCAAAAAAATTACATAGAATGGCCCTCAACACTGGGCAATTTAGCCAGATAGGGAAGAAAGGGTTGGAAACAAACACTAGGGATGTAGCTCGGTGCAAACCCTCTGTGTTCAATCCTCAGAAGGCTGAGGAAGATTTGCAGAAAGGACAAAGCTGAGAGTGATTCACAGGCAATTGGCTAATGCAAGGCAGCTTTATCTCCTTCAGCCACAGCACAGAGAGTTGAAGACGAGGTTTGGGATCAATCTGTGGCTCAGAGGCTTAAACACAAACTAATGGGCTACCAGGCCCAAGGTTGGGCCCTGATACATGTGACACAGACATCTGTGTTGATGCACCCTGAAATCTAGAACCCCAGAACCTTGAGACTTCCTTGCATAGAAGAGGCCCCCTCTTCCCCACCAGGGCCTTCCCTCCACCTTAGAACATGATCCAGGGCCCTTCATTCTGAGGACATGTAAATGCCCAGCATCTGCCTGCAGGTGATCTTCAGGTGATCTTCTAGAGGGGCCTGAGACTCAGGGAATCTGAAGCAGGGGTCCTGGGCTTGGAAGCTGGGCTTGAGACTTCTACCAGCTGTGCACCTTGGGTGTGACTGTCTCTTTCTGAGCACAGGGTCCTGGGACACGAGTTTGGACTATCCTGCTCCTGAGGTCTGCATCTCATGGCCTGAGTCTGTGGCAGGAGTGGACCTGGGCACCTGGGGACACAAACACCTGGCTGCCCATGCCCTGGGTGGTAGACAGAGCACGAGGAGGATGGGCTGTGTGGACTAACGTGGAGGCAGAACTAATGGTTTAGGAAGCAAACTTGGAAGGTGAAGGACCAGGTGACATGCTCTGCCTTAGCTTTTGTGGTGCTTGGCTGAGTGGATGGATGGAACCAAGGCAAGAGAGGGGACCAGGGCTGTCTGCTTATGTGTGGCACAGCCAAGGGGCAGGGAAGGTGCCCCGAGAGGTGGGGTGGCGGCCAGTAGGTGTGAGGGGAGGTAGAACATTGGCAACCAGGGGTCAAACCAAGTCACAGGCTTACACCTTGCCCTGTTCCCATTCTCCAAACAAAAACCTCCTTCCCACACAAAGACTCCTATTCCCACGTCTGAGGGAAGGTTGCTCGTGGAGAATGAGAACAGCTTGGATATAGGAAACCCCTGGCCATTTGCCACTTGACAAATGATCAAACCCCTGTTCCCATTTGTGGCACTTGGGGTCTGGGGGCAGGTATGCCACAGGGCTCCCATCAGCCCATCCTTCTGCTCACAAAGCTGCTGCAAGAATGGTGCAGGGCACCCCACAGGGCCTCTCTGCGCAGCCCATTTCTCTCCCAAGTGTCACCACCACAGGAGGCTGCCCTCAACCTTATTACGCAGCCTCGGGCTCTGAGGACACCACGGAGAAGTCCCCAGAGCAACAGGCATCCCTGTTCCCCTCGCCAGGATTCCAGAGTGTGATGACAGCCAGGACACTGCCGCCTGCAGGGTGGGAATGTGGAATGCAGAGGTTGATAAAGGCCATATGATACAGGGACCTCCAAATAATGTATGGGAAATATTGTGACTTCCAACCAGCTAGATGTCTAAAATGCCAAGTTTGTGGTCTCTAAAACTGAAGAAAGAATTCTAGAAACAATGGAGGTGAAGAGTACTTTATTGAGAAAAAAAATCTTCTGTCTAAGAGGGACAGAGGAGGCCCAGAAAGAGAGTTTCCCATCAACCCCACTTCTCAAGGGTGTTCCATTGAGCAAGACCATGAAGTGAGCCAAGTTCAAGGTGGGACAAAACTATAGTCAACTAATGAGATTAAAGTATAGTTGCTTAGTGATATGGCTGTGTCTGGATGTCCCTCCAAAGCCTCAAATGCTCATGAGGGGCAGGGATTTTGGAGGTGGCTGAATCTGCTTTGTGATTGATTTATGGTCCAATGCTGGGATTAAAAGTGTGAGTGCTATACCCTCCCTAGGGTGGGTAGCATACTTACAAGATGAGGGACAATATGGTATAAGCCTGCATACAATATAAGAGTTTTCTCCCCCCGCCCCTCACTTGTTGCTTTTGCTGTTTTCCACTGCCCTGATTTGTTGCCCCTCTTCCATGAGCCACCCTGCTTTGGAGCCAGCTAATTATGGACTGGAATCTGTACAAACTGTGAGCTAAATAAATCTCTCCTGCTTTAACTTTGGGTGTTGGGTATTTTGTCCCAGCAATGAGAGAAAACTAACTAAGACACTTAGGTAATGTTGATCCAATGGGTAATCACAAGATGAGTGTGAGGTAAGACAAAACTATGGTGCACCAATAAGATTGCAACAAGTATAGTCACATAGGTAATATTGATTGAATGGGGGTCAAATGGGGAAGCAAGTCAGGTAGAAAGCTACATGAAAGGAATAAGGATTTTCCTGGTAGGGGTGGGTTAAGGAGGTTTTGGTCCCCCACCCAAGGTGATTGATACCTATTTAGAATATTAATCACTGCTCTTCATCCCTAGGGGAAGAATATGTGTGTCATTCCTCTTTGTCTGAGGCCTGACCTTCAATGAATGCACCTCCACCCACATTTGTCTTCTGCACTGACCTTGGGAGGGCCCATCCCTGTCTGACTGCCCATGGTATTTCCAAATAACTTAGCTGTCTATAATATTCCCACTTCTGAAGACGTATTCCTAACTGGTTAGGAGACAGTGGGTGTGGTTTCTATCTAGCTGCTTCGAACAGAGAAGGGTCAGTGTAGAGGTGACCACAGTCAGGGCCTTTTCCAGAGAGCTAAACTAGGAGACCTCGGATAGAAATCATGTTGCAGTTTACTGGTTATGAATTCCCTTCACAAGGTCAATCTGGTGGATCCCAGTAAAAGGAGCCCGGCACATTTGTTGTTGGTTCCATCTGCACGATCACTTAGAGTTTGACAGCCTCTAGGCAAAATGAACAAATCTCCAAGAAATTAAAGCATGTACAATCAAAGCATGAGCACTACAATGGAAAGCCAGGTTGAGGAAAGAGCCATGTCCAGAAACTATTCTTAAGGACCGGAATAGCGACTGTAACCCACTGGCTCTTAGATCCCTCTACTGCTGGAGTCTGATATTTTGTCTTAAGTCTCTCCAGTTTTAGCTGGAAGAAGATGGAAGGGGGGCTGGGGATTTAGCTCAGCGGCAAAAGCGCCTGCCTGGCAAGCACAAGGTCATGAGTTTGATTCCTGGTACCAGAGAAAAAAACCAAAAACCAAAAAAAAAAAAAAAGAAGATGGACAGTTTGGTGGTTTTGGACAATTTTAGCTAAATAATTTAAAGATTCTTGAACTTCTATGGATTCTACTGTAGTTTTTTCTTAATGACCCATAATATGGTCAGCTACTGTTATAGCTGGAAACTGCCAGAAGGGGGGCAGTGATTGGAGCCCATTTTATATCTAACTTATTACTATAGCATTGTTTTCATACATCTTTTGGTTATAGTTTTCTGTTGGGTGTTTAAGACTAAGTTAAAATGAGACCTATGTTATTAAAATTAACTTCTTGCTGTCTATCAAGATCAGTTAAGTCTCCTCAAGCACTACTTTGGAACCATGTATAGATTCTCTTAGTTCCTCTGTCAATGTTAGCTGACAGGGTATTAGCAGGATGGGTCAAGGCCTTCCTTGACCATGTGGCTTACCATGGAAGCATGGGAAATGGTTTTCTTCTTGGGGACCCTCCTTTTATACCAATATACATTGGTTGACTCCTGTCCTCTCAGGTCCAACAATCTCCCTGCTCAGGAGGTTGGGTTACTCACCAAAGTTGCAGGGTCTTGTAGAAAATTTCCCTCATGTCCTGAATCTTCACTGGAAGGACAGGGCCAAAATATTGGCTGTCCTCTTAGCCTAGTTACCTTTCTAGTTCTGGTCTCTAAACTTTAGTTGTTGAACACCCTGAAGAGAAGATGAGAGACATTAGCATGGCAGTGGGGGCAATGAATTCCACTATTATAATTTCATTTGGATGTCAAGCACTTTGGAATATGAAGTATAGCCAGAGGACTGCTATTTCTTACCATTTGTGGTTATTTTGGTATTTGAATCACCGAAGAATGTCAATAGACAATAATTATAGAAGAGAAAAATTGAGATCAAGAGCCACATACAGTGTGTCAGCATAATAATCACGATAGCATTATCTTTGCAACACACTTAAATGTCCATCTTAGGACAGAACAGCCTTTTTAGTCAAACATCTCCATCTGATCACAAGACATTACATGACACAAAGAAACTCCCACCTAATTTGTTATCCTTCAGTAGGATGCCATCCAAGTAGAATATACTTGTCTATAAATGTACCTTAGAAGTTTATAATGTCTAGCGCTACTTTTTCATTGTGTGACATTGTTTGGACTGCTTTGTGCCTGAGCATCTCTAAGTACAGTGATACATATAACATACATATCACATAAGGGTTTTTTTTTTTTTTTTTGTCTTTTTGAGACAGGGTGGAGCTATGTAGTTCAGGCTGGCCTCGTGCTCACTTTGTAGCACAGGCTGGTCTTGAACTTGCAATGATCCTCCTGCTTCAGCCACCTGAGTGCTGGGATTACAGACATGCACCACCATGCTTGGCCCATGTTTTAAAAAACACTGTCATTTGACTGGTGGCCTTATGTTGCTTTGATATATACCTCTTATCACAAGTAGCTGGAGCACAAAAGAAAGGTAAATATCGATCTATAAAAGGTTATCACCATGAACAATCCCAGTTTTATATCTTAGAAGACCTGTACACCAAGAAGGCATGAATACATTTAGTACTCTATGAGATTAGCAATAATGAATATCATAGCTATATGGAATCCTTTGTGTCTTAGCTTAGTTTTGTACCATGAAGATCTTTTAATAGGAAAACCTTATTATTTTACCCACAGAAGACTTAACCTTTTGACAATGGCCAATGTAAACATATTACAATAGTATGTTTAGCAACACTTATTGGGGTATGTCTCTCATAAAGTTACGGAAATTATTTGAGTCCCATTAGTGGACAAAGACTGGAAGAAAATATTTCCAGGCAGCTGCTCCTTTTTTCACCAAAAGGAGTCCTGTCTAGCAATTTTCCTAAGCCTAAAGGGTCCCCATTTAATTATATCAACAAATTATTGATGACAAATGGGAACAAGATAATAACAATTGACACATTATTCTTAACCAATGAAAGATTCTCAAGTTATTGTACACAGACAACAATATGCATTGCATTGGTAAAACTCATCTTAACATCATTTTGATCAGGTGGCAACCTGGGTGGAAGGATGTTCTTAACTATAATGACATTAATCTACAAACCAGCTTAAGTTATAGATAAATATTTTTAAAGTCAAAAAAAGGCAAAAAGAAGAAAAAAATTGTTGAGCTCAAACAAAACAGTTCTAAGTATTGTCACCAGTCACAAATTGAACAGACAGAGAGACAGGCACACATAAGATAATTGTTAATAGACCAAAATGCACTCAGATGTATTTGGCCAAGTTGAATTATAATAACTCTTTTATAAGTTTCAAGTTTGTAATATAAATAGACTAGTCATAATTTTTGTTGGTCAATTAACAGAGTTCACTTGCAATAAGAATCAGAAGGAATAAAACCTTTCACATCTGTGAAAGCAAAGACCATGTTTAAAATAGGTCCTGGGCTGATAGTATATCTGATTGGAATACCCAGCTATACAGGTTTCTCATTGTTATATTGATAGCCATAGTTGTTTGACAGTCACAGCTGATAGCAAAACTGCTGTTTTGATAGCCACATGTAA